AAAGAGTTTGAACCATTCTGGAGATTTAAACAATTGGAACAGCACCTTGCATGATTGAAGAAAGTACCCCAATAGCCAATTTTGCAATTTGAAGAGGTCTACCATGAAGTTACAGCCCTCTAAATTTAAGGCTACACCTACACTTAAAGGTGTTTTTGTAGCTTATGTAGAGATCCCAGATGGTTAATTTTGGTATAACCAGCAGTGGGACCAGCTACTTTATGAGCAGCTGGCTAAGTACGTGGATAATCAGCTCCTCTCTAACCTCCGTGCTGCTGCAGCCAAGAGTTACACAGCCACCATTTATGTCAGCATGCATCATGCCACTTCTGGTGGTCTACAGTTTCCTTAGTGTGTGCACACTACCTCTCCCTCAAGTTAAAAAAAAAAATAAATAAATCTATCTGGGGTTGGAACTACCCCGCTGTCAGCACTCAATCTGGCTACCAGTCAGGTAGGATATGAGAACATTTGCTGCAACCACACCAAGGACTTCAATATAAATACAGCCTAGTTAGTATTATCACCCAAACCAAAAGAAAGAAAAAAAGAAAAAAAGGAAAAAAACCAAACCCAGTAGCAAACCCACAACTTAACAATATACAATTTTTAAAGTTGACAGATGTCACTATCCTCTTCCATGATAGTGGCACTCTATAACTGTGAATCAAATGCACTAAATATATCACAAAGAAAAAAAAAAAAAGTAATTTTCAACTTCAGAACAGTTCATCGTCAGTAGAAAGAACTGCTGTTTTTTTCTGAGGTACTAAAGATGCTGAGTATCCGCAACGAAAATGAGACTCCACATTGTACAAATGGTACAACATGGTACACCTAGGCAAAGAAGTTAAACATAGAGCTGGTTAGGAAAATAGGAAATTTAGGAATATACTGGGCTTAATGAGCTTTTGCTGAGATTTAGGTAAGATTTTTTTCCCCCAGATTTTTTGTTGGTTTGCTGTCTGACGGGTTGTTAAAGAGCAAGCTATGCATCTTTAGCAGCCTGCTGTGTGGATTGTCCAGTGTACAAGGACTTTAAGACATCCAGGCTATTTGCCACGGCATGACAGGACCAGAAGTCCCTTCCTTCACAGCATATGCACTGAAAGCCCTGACAGCCCTGTTCTCAAGCAGTTTTCATAGGCTAGGATCCTAGTGCCCTAAAGCTATATTAAGCTATAAAGCTATATTTAGGCTATAAAGTCCTAAAAGCCCCAACACTGGACCAATATTTTCAGAGCTTTCTGAACTGCTGTATATTTTCTGCAGCAGCCCAGAATTTTTGTCAAAGGGATTTGATTTCTCCCATTTCCATTAAAATTAAAACAAATAAGGTTTAAGAAGTAAACAAACAAGAACATTCTAGCTTCGGCTTCAAATGTTAATATTATTATTACTACTACTGTTAACATTGAAGTGGCAAACAATGGTATAAATGATTTTTCTGAATTCAGAAAATGACTCCAGGACTAAGTAATCATTAGAGTTGATGAATCCCTGTTCTAGTAAAGCAGACAGTATTGATATCTTAAGATATGCAAGGTTTAAATTCATTATCTCTAGAAACATTGCAAGAATGTGTCAGGAAAACTTCAGGATATTTAGAGATAATTTCAAAATTATGCAGGCATGAAAATAAAGTTGCTTTTGCTTTCATAATGGCCCTGCTTGCTAGAGTTTATGGCTTAAGGTTGAAGGGTTCTCTGAGTTCTTATTCCACTAATGAAACTGAATATTAAGAATGTCTCATGAAAAATTATACAGTTGGAAATGAGTAAACAGCATACACATAGGGAAGAAATGATAAACCTTCCAAATTTTACAAGTTGTAGATTTTTAAGATAATTATTCTGAATATGAATGCTTTCTAGTATAATAAGTAAATTATTTAGCAATGCTTTATTTTCATTTTTCAAACAGTTCTCCAGTGTATTTACTGGGGAAATTTTAAAGAAACATTCATCCAAATAGAATACATTATTTGTTTTTCTGAATAATTCCTACTCTGCTATAAGGTTTTTCTCTTCTCCAACAGATAGTTATATTTCTAATATAGGTATTACACAACAGCACAATGTAGTTCAGCCATCCCAGGTATGAAGCAGTGATATACAATTATTTAATGCAAAATTAATGCATTACAAACGTCCCAAGATCAGAGGAAAGGGCACTTTCTTTAAATTCATATCTGACAATTTAATAAGGATGGACGTGTGATATAAAGTGTCTTCAAAATAAAAGATAAGACTATATACATAAAAAACCCCCTATTATTATACAATGTCCAGCTGCACAGGTATGGAGTATGTTAATTAACACGTATCAAACCCAGAAGCCCAAAGAGACCCTCACCTGTTTAGAAAGCAGCTCCCTGCAGAGAGCATACAAGGTAATAAACTTCCTGGCTACCAGACGTGCATCAATAAAGCCTCCAGCAACCAACGTAATTTCAGAGATCAGTTCAATGTCAGGGACGACCATGGCACAGGGTCTAAGGAAGAAAACAAACCCCATAATCCAAATACACAGATTAGTATTTAAGCATGGTAAGAATAAGTCACTTAAATGACTGATGTCTGCAAACATTTTTAAAAACAGAGCTCGGGAGAGTCACAATTAAGAGTGTCAGTCAAAGCTAATGAGGACCTTACTTCAAAGTAAAAGCAGCTAATTAGGCACTGTTGATTGTTAGTATTCAGTAACATTGCTGTACACAAAAGAGGCAGCTGAGAAACCAGGGCTTGGGAGACAGGTACTACTGAAACTTGGAGCAGGCAGTCTGCAGCAGCGTCACTTGCCACCGACGACTGGAGGACACTGCCAGCAGCTGGACAGGGTCTGGAAGTCAAGTGCAACACCCTGCCATTGCTAAAAATGCCATCTTTTTTTTTAAAGGACTTCGATTTTTGGAGGGCTTTAACGCTTTTGTATGAAGTTATGGTTGCCTTTGGAAGTTTCACTGTTTGTTTCTTTTTTAAATATAACCTTTAGTTCAAACTTTTAGAACAAAACCACAGCCATTTTAATGATATAAATGAGAAAAATCTCCAATTAAAAAAGTAACACAAAGCAATGATGCAAAGGTTAAACAACTTCCTCATTAAAAATCACTACTTAATTTACATAGTAGCAGAGAAGAGATCTTGAATGTCGTGTTCAGGTCAGCTACAAACCAGCAAATTTGTCCCTCAGAACATTTTTCTTACTACTGACAAATACAAAGATTTCTTTTGTTCCCCATTTATATTTAAATATGACAAAATTAAGACCAGTGGTTTAGTCCAGCAGTATATTTCTGACAGAAATCAATAACATGTAGTCTACAAAAAGAGTAAGCACCCCTCTGTTAAGGAATTTTTAAGTAAACTATTCCCTAAGAAGCATTTCTTCATAAGCCCAAACAAGGGCTGCTATAGGCATTGCAGTCAATTATAAAAAAAATATGCTCTTCTACCTACCATAACCAATACCCTTCTTGCAAATAGAATAATTGCTTGCACAAGAAATATCAGGCTAGTAGTATTTAATAGATCTTCTCTCCCTTGTGAGATTTTATTAGGCAGCAAGTATGAGGAGTTAATGTTTCACCAGTTACCTCCCACCTTTCCTGTGCACTGTACAATGGATAAGAGCTATTACAGACATCAGCTACAGGCTTGAATTCCCGAGTCCCAAATGCAGCAGTTCATACTTTAATTCCAAAGGCTTTTTATGTGACAACCAAGTAAAAGTAACACTTCAACTCTATGTAGCAAGTACATTTTGAAAATTAAAACAACAAAAACAAGGAAAACTGTAATAGAAAGCACATCAAATAAAGCAATTATTTGACTTTATCTCTCAGTAGATAAATTGTTAATTACTATTACTTCATATCCCTTACTCTTTTCCTCCCAAATGAAAAAAAGGAACAACAACAAAAAAAATAAACGAACAACAAATCACATGCATTTTCCGTCCTCTAGTAGTCCACCGAGAGACGAAGCACCTGGTAGCAACAGGAAGCGATCCCTCCTGCTCTCTTGTCCAACACCACACTGACTGCAGACGACGTGGCCGCCAAGGCAGCTGGCTCTGTCCGAATGCAGAAAGGGCGGCAGCCGCACGGCACAGACAGGGGTGGATGGGGTCCCCGCCACCCTGTCCTCCTTTGTGCGAGGTTCTGAATTGAGGGGCTGCCCCACGTCGTTCCTTTGATGCACACCAATCCTGCTTTGCCTTGAAGAGTTCTTAGATGGCAATTAATGAGAAGGCTTTGTAAAGCAACAGCTAAGTTGCGAAATATTAAAAACACTTATGGGGAAGCGAGATGCATCTCTTGTGGTCTCTCTCCAATGTTTGCTAAGACCCAACTATAGGGTCTTATTCAGCGACAGTCTTTGCAGAGGCACATGAATTCAAATCCTAACGTCCTCCTTGTAAATAGATGTTACTTACTGATTGTTCCAAATGATTGTAATTTAGGCTTAAAGAACAAGAAAGCTAATTGCTGCTGCTGCCCGGTCCTGCCATCTGAAGCAGGATGTCTGGTTGGCAAGAGGATGAGACGTGCCTGAGCAAACATCTTTCTAACTTAAGCAGACTTTGTGTCTTTCTGCAGTGAAAGCATGAAAGAGTATGGTGTCAGGAATTCAGCAGAAATAATAAAATACGCCAGAATCTTGATGTGCTTTTAATACAGAACAAAGTCATACCTGTGTTTCAATTTGCTCACAGAAGCAACAGTGATGCCCGGTTCTGCCCTAAGTTTCTATCTTTCAAAAATCAAAGGGATTTACTGCTCAGCGAAGCAGATCCCAGATAACACATCTATACTTGTGCCTCCCCAGACAGCCTGGCAGTGCCTCGCAGCTTGCCCCATTGAACTTCAATATGTTGAGAAACGAAATCACAGAATCTTTTTTTTTTCCTCAAGTCTTGATTAAATCAGTGAAAAGTGTTAATGCAAGAGCAAGGATTTCAAGTGACAACTCTTTTTTAAGCGAACCCTGCATCATTTAAGTCAAAGTCCATTACCACGTAGTTCAAAGCGCAGCTCCAACACTTTGTCAGAATAGATTGGCATCATTTTACTGCCCACCACACCGGAGCAACTGCTTGTGGAATTAATTCACTCTCAGAAACACCATTTTGATACAAACTCACTGAGCGCAGCCCACAAAATACAGTCAGATCTTTTAAATTCAAAACTTTCTTCCTTGAAAGTTTAGTGTTAAGATATAAAGCATAAATATGTACTTTAAGAAAAGGGTAATGGGCTGTCCTACAGTGTCCAAAAGCATATGAATTTTTTTCTGTGCACTATACTTTTCACAGCTTCCCAACAGTCACATATTCAATATCTTACTATATAAGAGTATGCGGATTCATTTTCAACTTGTAGTTATGAAACATCTATGAACACTTGCATGCCTACACCCATGGAAGAATGTGATAGCTAGACTTTTCAAATGCTCATTTTACTAGGTTAAGCCAGCTCTGAGGATTCCTGTTTACCACAAAACAGAGAATATTCTTGCACATGTTTAGGTGCATCCCATGTGTTCACAGGCACCTTTAAAATTTTAAGTAGATAAAAAAAAAAAAGGCAAGATATAAATCTAATTTCCCTTGTCATTACGGTGTACAGGCAAGCACAACATGAATACTGATTTTTTTCACAGAAATTCTGAAGCAAACAGAAATTGCACTTCATTGCAAACCAAGGCTAGTAACATTAGGTGGGATATGTACTCTAAACGTAGACTTTATATACCAGTATACCATAAAAGTACACTATAGCATACTTGCCTGAACAGAGCTTTGAGGTTTTCAGGTAGTTCTGTCCGACCTGCACATCCTGGGCTCGTGGTAATAAATATTCCAACCGATGACTTCAATGTAATGTTTTCAGCAAGGAATAAAAATCTGTTATAAGAAAGATAACATAAAAATTTTACAGTTGGATTACATGTAAACAACTGCATCGTACAAAGCCAGCCATCAGGGGTCAGACGACAAAGGTGCCTCTAAGCCTGGATCCTGTCTTTCACAACGGCCAGAAGCAAATGCCTAGGAAAGTTTATTAGAGCTGAGTAACAGAGGCATTTCTCTGGTAGGCACCAGCTTTTAGTCATCTGTGGCTCCTCTGGGCAGCACTGAATTTGGAAGGAAAAGACTGGACTGTTAGAGCAACGAAGAGTGCATATGGCTGAAGTACGTCTATAGGAGGAATTATCTTTTGAAACATGTAGAATAAATGAGACTGGCAAGGATGCGGTGGGTTTGAAAAGGCCAGGAGACAGCACTGAGTAAAGGAAGCAGAGGAAGGAGAATATGGGACAGTGGAAACACAAGGCATGTCTCAAAAGCACTGGGAAACCCTGGAACCACTGAGACTTCTTGCAAAGTTGAATCCCGCCAAACTTCTCTCCCATATTATGCAATGCTACCACATGGTGGGACTTGAACAGGACCAGGGTTTCAACAGCAAAGCTTTAATTGGATTCCTGTAGGGCCAGGAGTTCACTTGCATTTATTGCTACATTTTGAAGAGAAAGTTATTTTAAGGTAGTATATTACACGGGTGATTTAGTGTTACAGTCTACTCCCTCACTGCATTTACAAAGGGTTTTAGAGGAACTTTAGAAGAAGAAATTACTGGTTCAGTATTTATAGCCTGAAAAGGACAATAAAGAAGCACTGCTAAAATACTCACTTCTTTTTCTTGTTCCTAATTGCATCGTGGACAGTCTTCACTTGTACTGCCACCACCGACAGAACTTCCACCGAGATGCGATTGAATTCATCAAAGCATCCCCAAGCTCCTGTCTGGACCAAACCTTTACAGATATTTTCTATAGACTAAAATCAAAAGTGAAAGATTTAACATCTTTTTCTTGAAAGCAACAGTTTCCAATGTACTTCATATGAAAAAGAAACTAAACAACCATTTCCATACCGCTTAGCGGAACATCTCACCTTGTAATCCATCTGCTCAGAACAGTTGAAGATGTACACCATCATACCAAGGGCACAGCCTAGATTTTTGGTGGTCTCTGTTTTACCTGTGCTGCAGGAGCACCGCTCATTGTTAGGTGGAGAGACTGGGTTAGAGTAATGTAACACCTTAACATAAGAAAAGTGATTGTTAGCATTGCAAGGAACATCTACAAAGTGGGAGTTTTGTTTTGGTTTTTGTTGTTTGTTTTTTGTTTTGTTTGTTTCTTTTTTTTTCCAAACCTTGTGTTTCATGGGTGATTTATTCTGAGTCCACTTTCTCGTTATAATTTAATGCCCTACACTACAAATGTACCTCTCATGTTCATGTAAAATCATGATGTGGCACTACTTGGAAAATGCTTATTTTAGATATGAAAGCTAACCACATCAACATTTTTTATCAAGAAGGAATACCCTATCAGTGGTCACACGGGACAGGAAACAGGAGGCTGTAGTTGCCACTTTGCCTATTTCAAAGAACTGAGCCCCAGAATTTCTGCCCCCAACTGAGGGTCATAAGCACTAAGCCAGCCACGATTGCTGGGTGCATCTTTTTGGATCACCGATTTTGACAAGAAACTCTATCCTGGAGCCAAAACATTTCCAGAAAAAAGCTTCATTGTATGTGGTGTGAAAAAGAGTACTGATTGTACTTTAAACACACACACAAAAAAATTCTTTTGCTGAAAACTCCTGATTAACCTTGGTACAGACCCACTCATATTCTTCTTCAGACTAGACACTGAATATATACATTAAGTTATGCAAGAAATATTTCAGTTATTTTTAAAGTAACGGACATTAAAATCATACCATTACTTAAGTATGCACACCTACATGCACACACATGTTCAGAGATATTGTGCCTTAATAACCTTATGAAATACATATGAGGTATGAAAGAACACTGAACTTCTAAGAAACATTTAACTTTTTATTCAGCGAAACAGATAAAGCAGACACTGTTATTAGCAAGTCATTACCTGTCAGTCAAAGGTGTAATAACTAGCCGAGGGGTATTTCCCAAGTACTCATAAGAGTACTGAAACCGAGCATTGCACATGTTGGCAAAACAGTGATTCTGGGTGTCATCCCATCTATGGTGTAGCTGTGACAGCCAAGCAAAAGCTTGGGAACTGGCGACCTAAAAAGCCATTGCAGAGCTGTTACGCCGGGTAGGAGCTCTTCAGATGAAAGAAATGAGACCCATCACAAAGCTACAGCTGTCACCAGTACGTCTCACACCTCATTCCTAGCCGTTTATGAATAATAACTACTACAACCAATTATAAAGGATTAGATGCACCTCGAGGCATTTGTGCTTTTATACACATTCAAGTGTAATATAAGATCTTTTTAATAGAGTTATTGCAGCAGAACACATTGCCACTTATTAAGCCAAGACCTCTCCTTACAAACAATGCAGTCTTCGCATGGGAGCAGACATTACTTTGACCAGAAGGAGTTTCATTTTACTCCTCAAGCCTTGTTTCTTCTTGCCTTAATGCCATCTTAGAAACCCATTTTATTTCTGAGGCTTAGGAGGTCAGAAGGAAAATGGGAATTCTTTCCTATTTCAATACCCATCCAGTGAAACATTTTGTGCATTCAAACCAGCAACATGTGCCAGCCACCTTAGTTTTACCTGAACAAAGTTATACATAGGGCAAGCACTTTGGTTTAAATAAACACTCAAAATTGTAATTGCATGCACTTATAAAGAGTCACCACAGGAGAGGAGTGCCTTGCTCTAGAGATGCACATGTATACCTCTAAAAGGAGAGCAAAACACACTGTGAACAATGGAAGATGGAATAATTAAAAGCAGAATAACTAAAGACATCTGGAAAAAACACTCAGATTGCCCGAGGATTGTCTGCACTCAGTTTTGTGATCTGAAATTTAAAGGAAATATCTTGCTTACAGAAAACCTACTGAAAGATTGAATGGTTCCCAGCAGTAGTGTAAAAGATGACACCTGACTTTTGTTCAGGAAAATTTTAAATTCAGAAGGCAGTAACCCATAAAAATGCAGGCACAGCACACAGGTCTGAAGCAGGCTGCCTTCATCATTATACCTACTCCACCTCCACCATTCTGGTGCCCACATGCAGATCCAGACCCAAACTTGGCTTAAGTACTATTAATTCTTGTCAAAACCACTAAAACTGTGCATGTAAAATACAGCCGATCCAAACACGTACCTTCTGAGCTACAAGGTTTGCTACAGCATCTCTAGCATGAACATCTATGGTGCAAATGGTCATGATTTTCTGTCGACCACCCGAGGAAAGTTCTCCAAGCAGCACGGTAATAAGAACATTTAGCTGAGTGACCTGAAAAGATTTAGGCAACCTACTAAGATCAGATGGATCCCAGTACCATCTACCATTACCGCTACTAGAAATTAGTTCTGCCTACATTATTAATTAAATCACCACAAAAACTGGCTTGTATGTACAAATTTACTGATATTAAACATGAGATGTCAGAAGAAATCCTGGTTTAAACAGACATTTGAACCACCTCCAGAACAATGACAATCCAGATGAGTACAAATACTGAAGATGGTCAGCTAGGCAGGGTAGGAGGAATGGATGGATAAGAAGATGTGCATGAAGTTGAATTGTAAATTTTGTGGTTACAATCTCCATAGAGGTATGCACCAGACTCCACAAAAATTGTACTACTTGCATGAGAACATTTATTGGCAAACTGTTTGAAAATAGACTTTAGGAAAGATCAGTGATCTACGTTTTAAAAACAGGCAAAGCAATGAAGGGAAGATCACAAAATATGGTATGAATGATTATACAGAGTTACATAGTAGAAAGACCCAATGGAATTTTTCAGGTTTCATATTAATAGGAAAGAAAAACATACACAGCTACTGCATGTAATTCTAAGGAGGCAAATGTAACTTTGTTATAAGGATATAACTTATCGGGTAGCTAGTGTGAGACAGAACTATGCTTGTACACGTTTTAAAACTCTGGCTTAAAAACAGGCGGTGAATTAGTGAGACATTAAACACTACACTTTGTGTATTATTTTTATATAATATACAAAAACACCTGCTGGTGCTGTTTTTACTGAGACAGAGTTAAAGGCCCAGAAGGTAATACTCCACGCAAACAAATTATTTGAGAATCACAGCCCAAAGCCCTAGTAGATTTTGAAAATGCTTACAGAAGTAAAACCAGAAGGTAATTTCACTGGGCTCCCTAGTTTTTCTGTATCATATCATAAAGGAGATACCAATAGCGACATTCTGAATGAAATTGCCTAGCATCCTGAAATATTTCTGGCATCTTCCTTTAAACACACCCAAAGCACCACTTTATGGCAATGAGCTGCCATCTGCAGAGAGGTTCAGATGATCTTTCCTAGTCCACTCTTTTTACAGCAAAACCACTCCAAAGTCCCCTCCACAGGTTCAGGAAGCAGCAACAGCACAAGACAGCGCTCTGCTCTACTTGCGAAGTGGCCACAGAAACGTAGCCTGCCTGGGTCACATAGAGGTTCATCGTGGATCTGTGTCTGCCTTTCACAGAAGCTAACTGAGATTTGTTTTAAAAAACAAAAGGAACATAAAAAACAAGTCCAGGAGAAGGATACATATATCCTAGGAACATATGCCGTAATTTGCCACAGACACTGCAGCCAGAATTTACTAAACAAACAAAAAAGAACCACACCAACAAACCCAAACCCCCAAAACTATGCTACCTATTTTATCATCATATTTAACAGCCATGAACTGGACCGAAATTTGGTTAACCCTTCGTTTGACCTTTTTTATACTTCCATCATTCTCTAGCCAAAAGTTCCATATTTTAAACTGTACACGATGTGAAAGTACTTCTTTTGTTTAAAGTCTGCTACCTAATAGCTTCAGGTAGTGCCTATTAGCTCTTGTATTATGAGAAACGGCTGTCGTGGTTTAACCTCAGTCGGCAACTGCGCACCACACAGCCGCTCGCTCACTCTCCCCCTGCCCCAGTGGGATGGGGACCGGAGAGATGGGGGAGAGAATTGGAAAAGCACAAGTGAGAAAAACTCATGGGTTGAGATAAAAACAGTTTAATAATTGAAATAATATGATAATAATAATAATAATACACAAAACAAGTGATGCACAGTACAATTGCTCACCACCCACCGACCGATGCCCAGCCAGTCCCCGAGCAGCAGCCCCACCGGCCAGCTTCCCCCAGTTTATGTACTGAGCATGACGTCACATGGTATGGAATGTCCCTTTGGCCAGTTTGGCTGTGCCCCCTCCCAGCTTCTTGTGCACCTCCAGCCTTCTCAGTCGGTAGAGCATGGGAAACTAAAAAGTCCTTGGCTAGTGTAAGCATTACCTAGCAACAACTAAAACATTGGTGCGTTATCAACTTTGTTCTCATCCTAAATCCAAAACACAGCACTGTACCAGCTACTAGGAAGGAAATTAACTCTATCCCTGCCGAAACCAGGACAACGGCAAACAAAGATTAATCTTTATCCACCTTCTCTATTACAGGGGTCATTTTAGACACCTCTACCAGTTTTCCTCCCCCTTAAAAGTCTCTTTCCTATTTCACTTCAGCAGATTTTCTAGGTTGGAAAAGAAAGCCAAAACTACTTAAAGTTTTCACAAAGAGGAACAATACACCAGGACAAAAACATTCAAAAGGAGCTGGAGGTAAACAAGGGCAAAGCAAAAAATCAAACTGCAGAATGTACCCTCCTGAAGTGGGACTAGTAATATTAGAAGTAAGCTGTTTGGTTTGACACAAATAAAACCAACAGTTTTGGCTTCCTTACACAAATATATGTGTTTAGTATTTGTATATGTACCGGTTGCATACTCTGTTCTTGTCACACCATCACTGTTGATGTTTGGCAGTATCTTTGCTTTTACCTTTCATCTCAGTTCAGAATAATCCTACAGAAACCCCACCAATTAAAATGTGATAACAATGCCCGTGAGATAACAGAAATGGAAGCAAAAGGTGTATTTCTTTTTTCAGTAGGTGCTAAAAGCCGTTAATTTACTACGGGACTGAAATCACTAGATATGCCATTAATCTCTTTTTATGAGACCATTTTCACACTGTACTTATTTTCACTGAATTAAACAAAAAGAAGATATCCATACCTGCTTCTTGTGACAATCCTCCAGGGCTGATGCCAAGCCCTCTTCCAGCCTACTGAATGCCATTTCAACATCTGAAACCCACCAGATTTGTGAACCAGTAAGTGCAGCCTGGGCTGGGTAGTCAAAACCCCACTGCTCGCTCTGCTTCTCTTCATAGGCCAGTATCGCCTCCATGATGTAGAGGCGCACTGTTTTGTGAACAGTTTCCTCAAGGTATTGCAACCAAGACTCCACCTTTTGAAGGAAAAAACCCAAATGTGCATAAATTTATGCATGTAACATAAATGGTACAGTTTATACTAGCAATATAGGAAGCTCATCTCATTAATCTTTACAAAAGATTTTCTTTACATCAACATTCTTTACAAACTTGAAATGAGAATGGGTTTTTTTCTTCCGTTTTCTCTCTCCTACTGCCTCTTCAGTAGGATTTAGCTCAGAGGAGCCCTTCCCAATTACTGAGATACCAGACATTATTTTGTGTTACATATCCATTTGACTTGAACACACAGGCATACTGTCTTAGAGCTCCAGATATGAAAGTCTGAAGTCTTTCTGTTCACAGACACAGAGTAAACACAGATAATACAGTCTTTCCTATGTCTCTATGCACTCAAACGTAGCTGTATCTTGGAGAAACTATCTCTAAGAGGCAAGCTGCATATATTTGTCCATTCAGTCCGGGGCCTCCCTGCTGAGACAATCAATCATTAGAACCACATGCAACATTGATTTTATGCAATGTGAATGCTTATCCATTCAGCACTGTTCTGAGAACAATACGTTATTGTCTCAGAAGCTGCTGATCTGTTCTTTCTGACCTACCACTACCCAGTTAGCACACATACTGGCTGGCCAATTAGCAAATATGAGGCTCAAAAACAGCTACAACCCTGTTCAGCTGATAGGGGACACGGGGGAGAGCTGGAGGTCTGGAGAGGTGTGTGCCGAAGGATAAGAGAGAAGGGGACCTGAAAGTGTAATGGAAGGTGAAATAAAAGGGCGGACGAAGAGAAGAGGTATGAGAAATGCAACATTCAACCATAGGCTTCATCAGTTCTGTGCCTTTTAGTACATTTTTTTTTCTTTTTCATTGCTCCTAAACGCTTATCTCTCTACACTTCTTAAAAAAAAAAAACCACCACCACCAAAAAAAACCCAAAAAACTTACATACAAGGGGCAGCTAGACAATTTATTAAATTATTAGTTTATTACACAGTTTTGGGCCACAAAATGTTTTGAAATTTGAAAAAATAGTTGTAAGGGGCTTTTTATTATTATTTTTTCTAAATTTACATTTTTAAAAGCAACATTTCATGCCATTGAAAGTGTCTATTTAATCTACATCCCAAAGAGGGCAAAATCCATAAAGGAAGTTTCACATAACTCAACATACCTGACCACTGCATCCACACCCTTCATAGAATGGAACATACTCCTTTTCTCTGCTGAACATCCCAAGGGCAGTATTTACAGATTCCTCTACATTCTCTTGAAATTTAAGATCAGCAATGTTGTCAAAAAATTTGGTAAGATGATGGGCCAACCTGCACCCAAAAATACCAGACATATAAGGAAACCATTTACCTTAGATTTGTGTCAATCACACTATTTTTAACACGTATTTCTATTAAAGTGGATGACTACCATGTTAACATTTGCTATATACAATAAGATTTTGTGGTTCAGCAAAATTTAACACAGTGTTTAGCAACTAACAGCATAACATGAAGTCCTTGCACTAATCTTACAATTGTGTTTCTTATTCTAATGCTTTCAGCACATAGTGTTTCAACTGATCTTAGCAAGTGAGATGCACTGAATGACCAGGTGATTAATCAACATTTCATTCTTAAGTTTTAAATACAATAAAAAAATTAAAAACCAGTTTTCTCCATAGTATTAGAACACTTATGCCAATTGAACAAATAAGAGTACTTCTGATTTCCCTGGTGGCACAGGCTGACACGGTGACGCTATCTGACTGTCTGTTGCATGATCACTACACAGGAGGTTTTCATGGGAAAAGCTGGGGTTAATTACACTATTGTCAGTCATCAGAAGAATCTGAAGGACAAAGATAGCTCAATATAAAATGAAGAAGTCTTGAAATTGTTATTAGTTATGGCTAGTGCTTATTTCACAAATTGTCGATTCAGGTCTAAATGCCTTGTGTAACTACTACACACCTCTCCAAAGACCGTGGTGTTTGAAGATCACTGTCTACACACCAGCATGCTCTATGCCTGATAACTGGAACAGAAGATTGGTTGTTGTTCTTATATATGGTGCAGAGCAAGGAACGGATGAAAGAAGTCACTGAGACTCAGTTATGTAAAGAAGCTATGACACTCCGTCATCACGTTTGAAAAGGCTCAGTGTTCAAGCCTCACAAGCCCTCCATCCTCTTGGAAAGTATCAGTTCTTCTGTTACATGTCACATCGCATCTAAAAAGGCTTTGCCTGAGACACACCAATAACTCTAGCACTCAGAGAATTAATGGCCATGGCTGGATAGTCATTGAGGCCAGGAGTATCATCTGGCATGTAGATAACATAGTATAAACCTTCTGAAATACATCAAAGTGCCTGTGCTTTTATACAAGCTGGTCTCAAAGTGTCACAAAACCTAGCAGATTATTGTTCCAGGGAGGAAAACAGAAGGATAGCTACAAAAACATTCCTCGTACAATGGTCAGCAGCCCAGTCAGAAACAGCCTAACAGAGACCATAGATCTTTCAGTCTTACTTATCGTCACTCTGCATAGCGTGCCTGAAGTTTGATGAATCAGCACCAGAAGCAGAATAGATTTGATGATCTCATTGACCTTTTCCATTTCTAATTCCTGCAAACCTACAATCCAAACATCCAAATAAATGCAAATTGCACATGGCTAGATTTCCAGCAAGAGACAGCACAGGATTTGTAACCCTTCTCCTCAGGATGATGGTTTCATCTCTCCTTGTTGAACACCTTGTACTTGTCCTAGCTGGGGGGAAAAAGTTTACTACCTTCTTTACACAAAGTGTTCCTGTTTGTAAAGTAAATTAACACTCAGAAACAAAGGTGCAGTTCTATGGTACTATCTCCTCACGTGGTTAGCTGGAAAACTTGCCTTTCTGTAGACAAAATGAAGTACAATATTATGCAAGGATGTTCATCTGTTTTGGCTGTGTTCCTTTTGAAAGGATGTCTAGCAAGTCCGCTGAAGAAACAAAATAGAAGCGAGAAAAAGCTATGTGCTTGGTTTCTAAATATTCAGCCAGAGCTTTTTCACAAAGAGAAAGTCTGAAAAGAACACAGAGATTTTAATATTATGTGCCTTTAATCACCCTAAAGCCCAGAATTCCCTCTCAGTTAAAGTAAGAAATCAGACCGAAGAGTAAAACAGAACAATACAATACAATATTTAAAATAATAACATGCAATACAACTGTAAAGAACAGATAAGGCAGCAAACTTTACACGTTTCCTTTCCAGAAACCTAAACAGAATATGCTCTTTTTACTTATTCAGACCAAGGAACCCAAGAGAACAGAATGGTGCCAGAAAAGTCCCTGAAAAGGCAAGTTTGGCTAAGCGGAAACTCCCCTTCAACCTTCCAGAGTGCAGCTGTAGAAAGTCAGGGGCAAGAACAAAATTTCTTATTTGTCAGGGCAGTTATTTGCAGATAAATTAAAAAAAAAAAAAAAAAGTGCCAAGAAACAGTCTAATGAGGGAGCAAAGAAACCACTTTTCTTAAGATGCACACATTTCCTTTTATGTATGAAGGATAACAAACATGAAAACACATGTTGGTATTGACACAAAAAGTATTAAGAATCAAAATACTCAATTACATGCCTATCTGGAGAGGAAAAACACCCATTTATTTCCGTGTGACTGATGCACTTTAGCTATTAGCTTGGTATCTCTCATAACAAAAGTGACATCTCAAAAAACAGGTTTGTGTTTGGTTTTTTTTTAACTTGCTATTACTACTTTTTCCTGCAAGGAGAAACAGGCCGTGGTCCAAATATCACTGCCTCTACAGGAGTGAACATCAGTGGGAAATTCAAGGCATACCTTTAAGTGTGTTGAAGGAGGACCTTTGCTGTACACAATCCACTACCTCCTGCTGTAAGTGTGAAAGAAAGACTCCCAGCTCCCAGGTTGTGGATGGGGAGAAAATAAATTTGATCCAAACTGAACATATTTTTTTAAGACCTTTGACAATTTTTACATCATGCAATCCATAAATAATGAACCAATGCCTCAAATGTAATTGATCCTATAAAAAGCAGTAAAAATCCAATGTCAAATAGAAACAAATGACAAAAGTAACATCATCGGATCATCTCGCATCTGTACAAAAAGCAGACATGACCTGACAGCTCTCATTTCCTGACTGTTCCAGAACTACACTTTAGAACAACTCATAATCATACTGGAAATTTTACCTGTGCTGCAAAGCTTCAATTTTTCATACACCTTTGGCTTGGTTGTAGCTTCCATCACATTTTTGTATTTACTGTGTCAGTCACCAGCTCCTGTACAGAAGTGCGAGGAAGTTATTGCAACATGTGGAATTCCCCTCAGATTTTTTTTCTACTTCATACTGTTTATAGCACTGGAACAAGAAAAGCACTGGGAAAAAGAGCTGGAAGAAGGCACCTCATCAGCTTGTTTTAGGTTCTACTTCTTAAACAGCAAAAGAAAAAGGAAAAAAAAAATCCACAAACGGCTATTTTGACAGTGTTTAGACTGAACATGAAGTAAATGTAAAATGAACAGAGAGAACTGCACTGGAGGAAAGCAAATACCACTGATTATACTATTAGAACTCTTCTAACAAGGTAAAAATGACAGATCGTAACGGAGACGTTAACTTGTACAATAATTCTGCTCATGCGTGCAAGCCCAATGCCTTTTGCAACATGCACCATGGAGAAACTTATGCATGTTAAATGGTATGAATAATTTCATTGCTCTTAACAGGGTTCTCAACTCATACAAAGGTGTGAATATAGATTTTTTTTTTTTGGCATATAGTTAGACATGCTGCTGCCCACATTGTTTAAATTGCAGATTTAAACAATTAGAAATGTATTTGAAATTTTAAATGTAGAACCTCCCTGAAGAACATTATTATATCTCAGCTTTTCAGAATTGTACATAATGAGAACTTTCCCTGGCATAGGTGGATTGAATTACAGGTATATTGGTAACACACAAGTTAGCCTCTTTACTAAGCAAGGGTTCAGTGACGGTTTTGGTCAGAATGAACAATTAAGGCACGATATTTTGTGCAAGTTCAAATGTTTAGGTTGATTGCTGTAATTATGTTTGGCCAATAATAACTAATAGACCATAAACTTGTATTTCAACTATCATTGTTCTAAATGATATGGAGTTTAGCAGAAGGGATTTCTGTAACTCACAAGCATCATATCCCTCTGTGACTCCAGGAGGTTAAAAGCTAACAAAGACTAAATAAAAGAAGATATTAAAGTCATGTGAAGGAACGACCTGCAGAACTTCGTCACAAATCATGGTTTTGTGACAATGTGTCAACCAGCAGCTGCCAGTCCATGCAAAAGGAAAACAAGGCAAATAATTACTCCGATTTTAATGATAAAGAATGCAAAATCCACTTCTGATATTCTCCCAAGTAAGCCTGAGACTCTCGTAATAATGTTTGTTCAGTGGGTTAGAAACAAGCCTATCAAAGAAATACTGAAACTAAACTGTCAATATGGTATTATTTTAAAAATATCTATTTAATTACCCATCCTAAATAATTCAAATGCAAGATATAAACGGACATAAAACACTAACTCTACTAACTTTGAAGTCTGTTGAATTCACCAAATCTGTTTGCATCTTCAGGCAGCTGGCTTCTGATCTCTTCAGAGCTAGTGAAAATACTTTCTAGATAAGACCATGTGCGCTGAACTTCCATCCAAACGGAAATGACAAATTCTGCCATGTTTAGTTTATTTTGCCAACCTTTCACTTGTTCAGTGAAATATACCATGTATTTACTTTTCAGAGTTGTTTGCAGCTGAACCTAGAAAAACAAGCAGCAGCGAAAAACTGCGCTAATCAAAATAATTTCTCAAACAGAGGAACTTGAGCTAATAAGAGCTTAACAAATTCTCCTGTAACTTGTTATTATCGGATATCATAACAGAAGACATCTTTAAACACTGCAAATGGACAGCGTATTATTAAATGATTTTTAAAAAAATCTAAGAAAATATAAGCTTAGAAAGCTGTAATTTTGTTAACTCCTACATGGAGACAGGAAATTTTTTAGAATATATATAGTTACATAGCATACGTATAATTTCCCAGGACTAACATCTGGAGAAAACGTAACTCTCTGCAATAAAGATTCAGGAAAAGAGTTTTAACTCACCAAGGGTATCAAGGGAGTGAATAATATTGATATACTAATGGTATTTCTATTAATTAAATCCTTACTTGATTGTTATCTAAAGTTTCAAGCAGCTGTTCATCTGACTTTAATAAAGGAGCTTCGTTCCTGTGATGCTCTTCATAAGAAAATTCCATGGCAGCCCATGTTTGGCTGATATCTGCCAAAATCTGGGAACAAGAAGAGTAGTAATAACATCTGTCTATACATATCACATTTCATATTTTGAGTTGAGAACTTTAATTAAATTCTATTTAATTCACAGTGATGGTGAACTACACCACAGACAATAAGTTAGTTTCACTAGGCTGTGAATTTTGCTCCCTAGCTAAGTCACATGAAAATATTAATTTCTATCATTAATTTCTTGAAACAAAACTTAATCAAACAAATGCAAAAACAGAAGGAAAAAAATGGGCATCTCTCACCTTTTCAGTACCTAACTCTTTCATGGCGTTGTCAACTACACTTTGGACTTCATCTTCTACTTTATGAAGCTGGAGTCCCAGAAGGTCTGTCAAGGTAGTATCTTCTGCTACTAAAAGCCTGAACTATAAAGCAAAAAGAGACAGCAGAGAGCAAAATAAGTAAATGTATAAGAAAAATCAGACATAAGCATATAACAAAGTGTTCAAATGGAATCCAAGTAAAAAACAATTAAATAAGTTATATGCACCCTAGACACAATCTGGATATACTTCCAGATTTGCACCCGAACTGTGAACTTAATCAGCCTAGATGAAATATTTCTTGATGCTGTTACTGTATTTTTTTTGTTTTGCCTTGTACTGTGACATATCGTGTATCATAACACTAAAAGGCAAGTTTATTTGCACAGCTGCCATTGAAGTTTATGTAAGCTACAGACACAGTATTTGCACACTAGAAACCTTGGGGAATGGTGGGGGTATTTGCCATATTTTGTAACTTTTGCAAGATATCAATTAAAAAAAAAAAACTTTAAATTTTAATCAAGGCTTTGAAAAGACTTACAACAGTCGAACCTTTTTTCATTTTTTGTTAAAAACAAAACAAAAATTTTATGCTAGGCCTGTTTAGGAACTTTCTGCATTAAAAATAATTAAAAGTGTGCTTTTATTAAAACTGTATGTGAAAAATGCTTGGTATATTGGAAGAGAAACATTCTGTTATGCTCACTCTCTTCTGTTTTTCTTTCAGCTTTCCAGTTTTCTTCATTTTAAAAGTGACCGAAAATTGAACTTAATTTTTTTTTTTTTTAAATGGTTAAAGTTTTAATTCAAATTTGGAAAACCAATTGGTCCGTGTTATACCCTAGGAACCAAAACCACTGGGATTCTTTTTGAGAAACTGAAATCACTTTTGTTGTTGTTGTTCATACAAACTTCTTCAGTTTTCCAGCTATATGATCAACCGTTGGGTAAAACGTATACATCTCTCCCCCTCCTGCCACCCCTCTCTTTCCTTTTTCTTC